AGAAGAAATCCTGTGGAGGCTCTTCCGTCTCCAATGTCCCTCGCCATCTCTACCCAGCATGCTCCAAGCAGGGGCAGGGCAAACCCCTCCCAGCTGTTACCTGATTAGTAGAAATGTTCCACCAATCCAGTGTCCTTTTCCAAGCCGGGCTTGCCAGGTGAAAGCAGTGAGCTCGCCACATGAGTATACAGCTAGGTCTGTTCAACTGGGAAAGACTTCTATCAACAGTTGCCACATGATAAGCAAGTTAACCCTAACTGAATTCAAGCTAATCAGCCTGCTTGACTGGCTCTGGCTTCACTTTTTACAATATCCCAAATGGCTGATCTTTGCTAAACAATGTTCCCTTATTTTGTAAGCAGCCCCCAGTCCACCTGGAGGCTGCTTAATATTTAAGCTGGTTAAAATGTGGTTTTAAACCTGATATGGACAGACATACAAGTTCAAAGGTGCCTGGAAGGTTCAAAAACATACCTAGAAAATCAAGTGCTATTCTGAACCAGTTCAGGATTACATTAGACACAAAGCATTCTCTGACACAAGTAGCCTAACTGTATGCTGTGCTACTGCTGCAGGTGGCCACTGTGATATGCAGACAGAAGTCAGCTTCTCCGTTTTTTCCCTTTTCCTGGCACTTTTTATCAATGGGCTCCGTTGCATGGCTTTTCTAAAAAAAGGTATCTTGCCCTCACTCCCTGCTTCACTGCCCCACCTCATCATGCCCCCACAGCCCCTGGGCACCCAAAAGCCTGGGTCCAAGCACTCCTCCTCTTGCCCACCCACCCACCCCAAGTTTGGCATGCACACTATAGATTTTAGTCAGTTGCCATCTATTGAAGTCTACTGAACTTGTGTTTAGGAGAAAAGAGAAAGTCGAAAAGTGAAAATGTCCTCAGCCACAGATCACCCACCCACTGGGACCTCAAAAGGAGAAAGGGGTACAAGCAGCCTCTCCCTGCCCACTTACCCACTGTAAGCCATGCTGGGCTGGGTGCTCATTCACATCCTATGGTGTCACTGCCACCATAATGCACAAATGATTGTGAGCTGATTCCCAGTCAGTGACATTTGGGAACAATTCACTTGTTACGTGTGTCTGCATCATCCCACAATTGTGAACCAGTTCCCTATCATTTTCGAATGGTTCAGTTGTTATGTGTATCTAGACATCTCTGGTCTTTTCTTAGGGCATGAAGAGATGTAACGCTTGGAATTTTCTAAATACACTTTAAATCCCAAGGATGTGGTCTGGGGTGGGGAGGGAGGTGCTTTAATTAGACTGTCTCCAAGAGCTGCTCTAATTAAAGTGCCCACAGTTTCATGTCTATTCGGTGTCCTGCACTTCAAAATGGTGGCAGGGGCACTTTAACTAAAGCTCGTTCAATAAGCTTTACTTAAACCACTCCCACCACCATTTTGAAGTGTGGGGACGCTGAATACACATGATGCGGAGGCTGCTGGAGCGTGCTATTTAGCACACTCCAACAGACTCAATTAATTTGAGAGCACGGAGGCAGAAAGAGATCTTGGAGTCATTATTGACTCCAAGATGAACATGGGCCGACAATGCGAGGTCACGGTTGGCAGGGCTAACCGGACCTTGTCGTGCATCCACAGGTGCATCTCGAGTAGAGCCAAGGAGGTGATCCTCCCCCTCTACGCGA